TGCAGTTTTAACATATACTTAACAAACTTCAAATACTAACAACTATCGGGTATACACCTGCAGGATAACCTGCAGTTAACAAAGAAGGTCCGAATTAAAACTGTTACAACAACTGTACGTTGCATGTCAATGAGGAATAAGCCAGGCCTTCTGGTGGTTTAAGCATAACCCATTCTACTCCTTCTCTTAATACAGCCTTTGCCACTTCTGTCCATCGTTAAGTGAATTAACTGCTAGCAAACCGTGGCCCGTACTGTGCATCTTCGGAATGCGTGACAGTGAAGCGCTGACGGCAAGTGCGAACTGGCACCTCTGACATTCTTAACGCGCGGGGGTCGCGTAAACTTGACTGCTAGGCTCGACTGCAGGAGGGCTCCTACAAGGTGTGCTTGCAGTGCGGTTTAGTTTGGCGGCAATTGCATGCGTGCGCAACTGCACATCTGGATGCCAGAAGGCGCAATTTCACGCAAATTACTGCGGTTCTTCGTGATCGAGGGTATGTAACTAAAGAGACAGGCAGCCTTCATCTGAACTCGGGGGGCGTGGTAGAGGCGTGCAGAGCTGCGACAAAATAGACCTGAGCGAGCAGAAAGCAAGATGAGAAGAATGGCTCACTCGCGATCACCCGGCAGGTCTCGCTAAGTTTAATTTTCCAGATGGCTTCTCAGCACAACTTTCAGGAGGTAGAAACCTCGCATTCTCTCCTCTCCCTGGTCGCTAAACTGGAATGTGCACAGATGTCTTAAAATTACCGACTAGTTCGTATGCTACTGACGAAATGATTGCCGACATCTTCAGCCAAAGGCAATATTTTCGAGGTACACGGCTTGCTCTGTAGGTAGGATCTGTGCACCTAAATATTTGTTTAAATTGACAGAAAGAATAGTGTTCAGAAAGAAAAAAATCGTCCTGTGTTATGCAAACTTATCACACCACATTTACAGTACAAATTTGGAGGTATTTAAAGCCGAATGTGATTGACGCCTCAGAGACGAGGTTGCTGTTGAACTGCACTAAGATTTCTGTTGGGTGTTAACGTAGCAATAAGTATTAATTTGTGGGAGATTGCGTTGACCTGAGGCGGACTGATTAGCTCAA